GATGGATGGATGATGGATGGATGGATGGATGGATGGATGATGGATGGATGATGGATGGATGGATGGATGGATGGATGGATGGATGGATGATGGATGGATGGATAATGGATGGATGGATGGATGAGGAAGCAGCACACCCAGTTTTTGCCGCACAGCCCCAGCCCAGCAGCCATTTTGTTGGCTCACTGCCACATCCCAGTTGTCCCCATTACCCGTGACACCTCTCCTGCTCCAGGCGCGGGATCCTGCCTCTGGAATCTCCTCCTGGTGCCGTTTGGGACACGGGCAACAGCAGAGGAGTATCCAGGGACACTCCCAAGCCTTGGCCACATTTCCCGGGGGGGCTGCGACCTCACTGCCCCATATCCCTGTGTCCCACCAGAACCTCCCACCCTCGGACCCCCATCCTTTAGGATCCCTCCCTCCATCCCTGTTTTCCTTCCACCAGCAAAACCCACGATTGAATTTTCCTTTTTTTTTTTTTTTTTTTTTTTTTTTTTCCCCTTTTTTTTTTTTTTTTTTTTTTTTTTTCCACGCTTGGCTGCGGCCGCCTTTTCTCGGGCTGCCCCCACATGACCGTGCAGGTGTGTCTGGGAACCCGCGGCCGCCGGGCCCTAATTAGTGTAATTAGTGGCATAGAGTGTGACCCCCCGCCGGGCTTTTCACGGCCCCTGCCAGCCCCGGGCCAGCCCCGCGGGGTTGACAGCGCGGCACAAAGTGACACATGCCACAATGGGCAGGTTCAGGAGGCGACCGGGGCCGGCAGCCGTGGGGGAAGCGGTCACTTAGGGATGGTCGGAAAAGTCCCAGGGTGGGCTCGGGGCTGACAGGGATTTGGAGGAGGAGGGGAGGCGGGGGGTGGATTTGTGATGCGGCTTTTGGAAATCGGGCATTCCTGGGATCGTTCAAATGCCGGATTTTGGGTTGGGAGGGAGGTTAAATCCCACCCGGTGCCATGCACGGGGAGCCCTCCCGCTGTCCCGGGTTGCTCCGAGTCCTGTCCCTGTCCCTGTCCCCTGCCAGGGGTGGGGGATGCACCCAGCCCCACCCAGAGCTGCTGCCCGGCACCCTCAGGGGTGGAGGGGTGGGGTCCCCCCTCTGTGCCCTGGGGGACACCGGGGACCCTCCCTGCGCCCCAGGGCGGCTCAGGTCAGCCCTGGAGCTGCTGGGGTCAGCTCTGGGACTGAGCACTGGGGGGTTGGGGGCTGTTTATCCCTCCTGCTTCCCAGCCCTGCTCCAGGTGTCCCCATCCCTTCCCAGCTCTGGAATTCGGGGCGGGGGCTGAGCGGCGCGCGCCGCACAGAGGATGAGGTGACAAAAAAAAGGGGAATGGCTTCCCGCTGGAAAAGGGGAGATTTGGGTGGGATTTTGGGAAGGAATTCCTCCCTGCGAGGGTGAGGAGGGGCTGGGATGGAATTCCCAGAGAAGCTGCGGCTGTCCCTGGAATCGCCCAAGGCCAGTTTGGATGAACCCGGACCCACCTGAGCTGGCACAACACAACACCCCTCGAGCTCCTTTCCCACCCCAACCATCCCCCGACCCCAAGACCCCCTCGGAGGTGGCAGCGAGCCCCCGGCGCACTTTGCAGCCGAGCCCTGCGGGGCCGCGGAGGGCAGGGCGGGCGAGCGGGAGCAATTAGCGGCGGGTGGAGCCGGCCCGGGTCCCCTTTGTCACCGGGGGCCGCGCTGGGCAGCAGTGCGTGAGTGTCAGCGCTGACGGAGATCGCATCTGACAGCAGCTGTGAATTTGGGGCTGGGGGTGTGCAAAGGCCACGTTGAAAGGCTTCGCTTTCCCCTCGGCCCCGCTGCCGCCGCCCTCCTCCTCCCGCCCCCCGGCCGTGCCCCCGGCCCACCCAGCCCGCCGCGGCCGCGGTGCGGCTTCATTAGCGCTGCTGGGGCTTTCCGGGGCTCCCCTGCGCTTCCCGGCCCTCCTCCTCCTCCTCCTCCTCCTCCTCCTCCTCATCTCGTTCTTCTTCCCCTCCTCTTCCTCCTCCTCTTCTTGTTCTTCGTCCCCTCCTCTTCCTCCTCCTCTTCTTCTTCTTCTCGTTCTCCTCTTCCTCCTCTTCTTGTTATTCTCTTTGTCCTTTTCCTCCTCCTCTTCCTCCTCCTCCTCCTCTTCTTGTTCTTCTTCTCCTCCTCTTCTTCGTGTTATTCTCCTTCTTTTCTTTCTCCTCTTCCTCCTCCTCCTCTTCTTCTCTTTATCTTCCTTCTCTTTTTCTTGTTCTCCTCATCCTCTTCCTCCTCCTCCTCCTCATCTCGTTCTTCTTCTCCTCCTCTTCCTCCTCCTCTTCTTGTTCTATTTTTCCTTTTCCTCCTTCTCCTCTTCCTTCTCTTCCTGTTCTTCTCCTCTTCCTCCTCCTCCTCTTCTTCTTCTTCTTCTCTTTCTCTTCCTTCTCTTTTTCTTGTTCTCCTCCTCCTCCTTCTCCTCCTTCTCTTCCTCATCCTCCTCCTCCTCTTCTTCCTTTTCTTCTTCTTTTCCTTCTCTTCCTCCTCCTCTCAGTGTTCTTCTATTCCTCCTCCTCTTCTTGTTCTTATCTTTGTCCTTTTCCTCCTCCTCCTCTTCCTCCTCCTCCTCTTCTTGTTCTTCTCCTTCTCTTCCTCCTCCTTTTTCTTCTCCTTCTCCTCATTCTCCTCTTCTTGTTCTTCTCCTCCTCCTCTTCCTCCTCCTCCTCCTCTTCTTCCTCCTCGTCCTCCTCTTCCTCCTCCTCTTCTTCTTCTTTTCCTTCTCTTCCTCCTCCTCTTCTTCTTCTTCTCTTTGTCCTTTTCCTCCTCCTCCTCTTCCTCCTCCTCTTCTTTTTCTTCTCCTTCTCTTCCTTCTTTTGTTCTTCTCCTCATCCTCTTCTTCCTCTTCCTCCTCTTTTTCCTCGTTCTCCTCTTCTTATTCTCCTCCTCTTCCTCCTTCTCTTCTCTTTCTCCTCCTCCTCCTCATCCTCCTCATCCTCATCTTCTCCTCCTCTTCTTCTTCTCATCTTCCTCGTCCTCCTCTTCTTCTTCTCCTCCTCTTTCACATCCTTCTCCTCCTCTTCCTCTTCTTCTTGTTCTCCTCATCTTCTCCTCCTCCTCTTCTGCTTCTTCGTCTATCTTCTCCTTTTTATTCTTCTCCTCCTTCCTCTCCACCTTCTCCTCTTCCTCCTCGTTCTTCTTCTCCTTCTTTTCCTTTTTCTCCTCCTCCTCTCTTCCCACCCCGTTCCCTTTCCGGGCTGTCCCTCAGCGTCGCTGTCGTGACTTCCCCTCTGTCACGACAGAACGTCCAGAGCCGGGCATGGATGAGGGGCTGGGATGATCCCTGGAATGTCCAAGGCCAGGCTGGACACTGGGGCTTGGAGAAACCTGGAATGGTGGAAGGTATCCTTGATGGAACCGGGTGGGATTTGAGGTCACTCCCAACCCAAACCATTCCAGGATTCCAGAGGTCCCAGCCCATGGTTGGATGATGGATGATGGATGGATGGATGATGGATGGATGATGGATGGATG